GGATGAAACTAATATTAACTAAGCATCTCTTCAACAGGCCAGGTTCATCTAACAGAAACCTAAAAATAATCAAATATAAAATATTTTTTTACACTGTGTAAATATTAGCTAAATCAGGGGACAAATCAGCTTGTAATACAATAGTTTGTGTTAAATTGTATAATTCAGCAGTGCTACTTTCTGTAAAACAATATGCTACACAAGCTAATATCTGCTAACCAGTTCAATAAATAACAGTGATTACATCTAACCTGCATATATTTAAGTTTAATTTAATTTTAAGCTGTTATATTGTTAGCTTCAGTTCTGGTTAGATCACATTGAACTCCTCTGTTGGTAAAATCTATAACACACACAGCTTTCTGGCATTATTTTAAAAATTAGATTATATACACTCTAAAATATTTATACTTATTATAATATTATTTTTAATAGTTTTTATGATTTCTACATCGTCAGTCCTTTTCTTTCACTATGTTGCTACGATGTACAGTAATGATAAATCCAGACTCTTGACCGTTATGCTTAGCTTCTTTAGGTCACACGGTCTCCACGCTCTCCAGCTGCTCTATACACTGTCTCTCAGCTGAGAACGGCGCCATCATGTGGACACCTACTGACATAAGCTGTTTTCACACATGAACTACAAAATTGTCAAGTTCGGTACATTTAAAYAAATTCACACTATTTAAAATAATCTCATCTTTTACACTTTTTTGAAAATGTCACAAGGTCAGMGAAATTTTACAAGAGCTTAGGAAATGATAAGCTCTCTGTAACAAGTGGTTAGTAGTAACTTTCAAACCACACTCCATCTGAGGCGGAAACACCTTCTTCACAGGTGTGTCATTTCTGCCACACCTCTGAGCTGCACAATGAGACCGTCACAGAGCTGAGTTGGTGGGTTTGTGAAGAGGGGGCATGTTATAGGGAGTGCTACRCTAACAAAAGAGGCTGCTGTCTGTTTGCTGGTTCCACAGTGCTGTATTCATGTGTGACACTACASGCTGACCTGGTTGTAACCTGAATCTATTTAACGTGTAAATTACCAACCAGGAACACAAGTGGCTTTATTTTTTGTTCCACTGGGACTAATGTTAGAAATGTCTTGTGGTTCCACTTTGCTGTGAGGTCAGTCTGCAGCCAGAGAATTACAGCCGACTAAAACATATTCAAAAGAAGTGGACAGAGAACTTTCCATAATAGGATTTATAGAATCAATTATTCCACAAGTTTAAGTGCAAGTGCTGGCTAGGAATGCRYGATATAAACKATATACGGYAGAAACGATATAAATTTGTCCTAYGATAGAGATCTGTAGTCTACCAGCCAACCGCGCAATTCTTTTTGATGATGTAACCGGCTGGAGTCAAAACAGAGGAAACGGGAAGCAGCGTGGCTGAGAGTTAAATGAAGAGGGGAAAAAAAACATAACTTATCCAGACCTGGTTCAGGTGTGCGAAAATGAACGCCGAACTGTTTACATGTTTACGTGACGGTGCACCTGCAGCGGGAGGAGCGCGCGCCGCGGCACATGGTGACGCAGCGAGGCGACAGTCAGTGCAGGTGAAGTCAGTGCTCCAGTGGAACACACAAAAGCTCGTTGAGTCTGGACCTCTTTTCTCCTGCGGTCATAGCGCAATACTGTCTCCTTGTACAGCGGGGAAGCGCTGTGGGAAAGGGTAACAGTCAGACTGTCTTTCCAAAAAAAAAGAAAAAAAGAAAGAAAAGTCACCCCGTCGGAGCGCGCACAGATTAAACACGTGGAGTGCAGAAAAAGTAATCTGTGTGTAGAAAGGAATAAATATAAGCAATTTGTTTTACCACCTTAAAACGAAGCAGGTGATTCCAAACACAACATCCAATGG